TACGCAACCCAGCTTCCCGCTCATCTCTTTGATTGTTTTGGGACTTTTCGATTGATTGGAAACTGGATATTGGCTTTGATTATTCAGGGGTTGTGCCTTTTTTGGGAGCTACTTTACCTACCTCTCTTTGCTGGCTGCTGCCTTCTCTCGAATTTTCATTTAGTCTTGATTGATGATTGCTTCCCTTGCTGTAAAAAGTTTAAAATTAAAAAAGGGTGGTTTTGATGGCTCTCCCTCCTTTTTTTTTTTTTTACCCCACTTAATTTTTACCGCTGAAGATTACGCGCCAATTTGTGACAACGGTAGACGAGCGAGCCAGTAACGCTCTGGATGAGGTTGGGCCTGAAACTCGCGCCATGTACATCAGACGGACTTGCATCGCATGACAAATGCACATGCACGCAGGCCCGGCCCAAAGCGCAAATTCTTTCATTAGTGTTGAGTAGGGTAAATGACCAATGTCATCACTCAGAGTGACCCAAAAAAAATAATAATGATAATCTTTCATGTAGGAAATGGTGCAAATAGTCCCTCGCATGTAGCAAGTGTACTAATTTAACCTATAGTCTATTTATGATTGAATTTTCGAGCAAAAAACGCACGCCCAAATCGAGTGTTCGTGCTGTTCAAAATGAAAATCAAAATAGCATTTCGCTTTAAAAAGATCCTCCGCCACCAACTCTTCTTTCTCTCCTAACCTACCACCAACTTGCTTCACTCCTCCCCTCCTTCTCTTCCTCCCTCCATCTCCACTACCGCCAATCCACTCTCAATTCTTCGCTAAAGAGAAAGGAGAAGAGAGGGCGATGGGAAGGGTGGTTGGGAAGAGGGAGGGGTGGAAAGGGTGATAGAAGAAATAGGTTCTAGGACCAAATTAGTATTTTTGTTATATTGTGGTATTATTTTTTTATGGGATGGACCAACAAAAGGTTTCCCCAAAATGTGAATGACCATTTTGGTAATTTTCCCCTTTCAAGTAATATCATCAAATGTGTTGCAAATTTGCCCTTTAGTTGTGGCTTGCAAATTTCTTTAGGGACCAAACCAGCCTCAAAAAACTTACATGAAAGCGCTAAATTTCACAGTGTTCCTTTCTTTTCCCTTTAATTCTGCATCTAGAATGGCTTTCCTTTGGAAAACTCCCCGTGTGCAATTTGGCTTCAGCGGCACGTTTGCTCAACTGCTTTCTTGTTTCACTTAGGCAAGGCATCACGGCAATCAGCTGCTTATATATGGCCTTCTGTCTTTGACTTTAAAAAAGAAAGATTTACTTCCCTATAATTTAATGGTGGAATCCTGCATCAGCTTTTTATTATTTTTTTATGATTCTGTGATCGCGATCGCATGCATGCTCTATCATTAATCTATCATCCTTTACTTCTTTTGGCTGAGATATGAAAAGTTCTGCTCCACCTCACTCTATTTTTTTTTTTTTAACTTTAGCAGTATTATTTTTTTTGCCTCCAATTCTTGGATTTGCATGCTTTGGCCGACTAATACTACTGATTCAATAATTGGTTTGTTTGGATTGTAAATTATTTGAGACATTTTTTTACTGTAACACTTTCTGTGATGCGATGATGTATGTGAGATAAAAAGGTGTATTAGAAATTGTAATGATGATGCAAGCAAATATATTTGGCCAAATAATCTGCTGTCCAATGTATATTTTACGTATCAATAATCAAGTTTCAATTAATCAGAACGTGAAAAAGATTTTCTGGCTTGATTAGGCTTAATCAGATGATGATGGTTCTGTGCCTAATCAAGCCAGAAAATCTTTTGTATTGAACTCTTGCGGAGTTCTTAGGTGTTGGTGAAAAGAACACATGCTTTATTAGGTTTCCCAAACGCTATACTTGATTTGGATTGTTACTGATAGTTTAATACTACTCACAGCATTTTTATTGAAATCTTAACTTGATTATTCTTCATGATCAGGTAACGGTCGGATTGACCAAATTAGCCAACCTATTAGTTAATCTTTTCATTAATCACTTGAAATCACTGCAGGATCATTTGTGGTATAATTAATATCCCCGTACTCTTCTTTTTTATACAATCGCCTGTAAGCAATGTAATGTTATATTCTGATCCATCATGCTGATGATCGAAATCGAATTCATTCAAATTATTTTATAAAAAAAGAAAAAAAAAAAAGAACATCCCCCCCCACCTCCCTCTACCTCATTAATTTTTTTTTAAAAAAAAGAGAAAAAAAAAAAAAAAAGAAAGGGTGTTGGTGTCATCAGAAGTTGATCAAGACTTGGAAGATCATGATGCTTTCACAGTCAGCCATGACCCATGAAGTCATGCTGCAAACTAAATGGACGTACCGCTTTGTTGACGAATCACATGGCCCTTAATGCTTGACCCACATAGACAAATTTGGAATTTAGAGCAAAAAATTCGTCAATTTCCACGGGCGTGCATGTTCCCGTTTCCATCCTTTTACCAGTCACGCATCTATTTATGAATGACTAAAGCAGAGAAAAATTGACTTAGCTGCCCCCCACCCACCTCGACGTCAAAATTTATGAACAGAAAACAAAGAAAACAAAAGTCAGGGCTTTCATGATCTCACGCAGGAAAAGAAGAAGAATACCATTTGCCTCGTTGATTGGTTAATACTCCAAGTCTCCAACTACAGAATCTTCCACGTTAACATGCAACGGTACCGCTATAAATAAAGGGATAATTTCAGAATTTCGACTATTTCACTTACCTCCCTTCAGGTTTAAAAATTACACTGATCTCTTTTGAGGTTATTTATCTTGTACTATTTAGGTTCAATCGATAATTAAAAAGTGATATTAGAACAGATAAAATAATATGATTTTATTATTACCCATCATCTACTATATTATTTAATTAATTTAATACCAACCAACATATTAAAAAATGTATTAAAATCATAGGAATCAAATCACATGTAACATCAAAAAACAGTATATTATTTTATATTTTTCACTAAATACAAGATCCAAATTACATACCCATTATCAAACATGATCGCCAAAAAAATCAAAAAATTTGCAACCAAAATATTACGGAGAACAATCTTTAACATAAAAAAAAAAAAGTTCTTATCAACATATATTGGTTAATTGCTGAGATTTTTGTGGTATTAAAGTTTGATTTTTGTAATATTTTGATTACAGGTTTTTTTCCTTATTTGTTATTGACCATGTTTGACAAATGAGTTTGTAACTGGAAAAAAAAAAAAAAAAGCAGTTTGGACCTTACATTGAGTGAAGCATATAGAATAACATACTACTGTTTTGATGCCATGTGTGATTTATTCTCCGATTATAAAAAGCAAATTCTAGTATTTTCTTTAATGGTTTGACATGTATTAGATTAATAAAACAATTTAGTAGATAAGGAGCAACGATGGAACATATTATCTTCTCTATCATACTATCACGTTTTAATTGTTAATTAGACTTAAATGTTATAGCATAATAATTTTTAAAATTTGAAGGAGACCAATGAAATTATAAAAAAAAATCTCAGGGGAAGTTTCTGAAATTATCCCATAAATCAAAGAGGAAGAAGGTATGGGGTTAGTGATGCATATTATTTTCGCATCCGGTGGCCCTTTTGATTGGATTTGTCATTCGTACAAACGCAGCCAATTTCCACCGTCCGATGCTTGGGATCCTGCCAAATTTGCACCTGCCATCCATCAGTCTCCTTCACATGGCAGGCATTCCTTCGGATTCCCTCCGTTTCCTTGGCATAATTATGGAAACCATGCACCAAGAATCTTATCACCTTCATTTGTCATCTACGCAATTAGTCCATAATACAACCACCTGTACGCTGCAAATCGTACCATAGGACTTGAATGGGACCATTCATGCTTTCTCGGGTCTCAATCCGAATTCCATTTTTACATTCCATTAATGCCTACATGGCAATGCAACCTACAAAGTTCCTTCAAGAATTCAAAGTTGTCCCTTTTCTTGAAATACGTGCCCATCTTAAGCGCTATACGTACGTACTAGGTACTATATTCTATTGATTGTAACCTTTTTTTTTTTTCTCCTTTGAGATGATGCGAGGCGAAAATATAGGTTCTATTTGAATTAGCTGTTTTTGAAAATATTTAATATATTATATGGATAGGATTTTTTTAAATTATTATTATAATATTATATTTAAAAATTTTATTTTTAAAAAAAAATAATCAATTCAAACGGAGCGGAGCAATAGAGCATTCCATTAAAACATCGCCAAAGACAAAAAATTGGTTCTCTCTAGCTCAAAATGAAATAAACCCTTCTATGGCTTTATTAGTTGTGGCTTTATTAGAGTTTTGGACGTAAGAGCAAAGGAAAAATCCACTTGAATTATCTTTAGTCGTTTAAGGAAAAATCCACTTGAATTATCTTTAGTCGTTTATTCTCGCTCTCTTATATTTTTGCAACTATAACAGGTGAGAATGATCAAAATCATCTCAAGTTACTATTTGATAGATTTTGGAGTTAGTTATATTATTATCAAAAAGTTTAAGAACATGTCAAAAGTAATAACAAATATACTTTCTACCTGTAAAATTAGGGATAAGTTTTTTCATATACTGTCGAAGTATAATTTTTTTTATATTAATAGATTTAAATTATGCTGTATGTGACATACATTTTAAAAAAAGTTTTTACACAAACAGGTTTTAATTATATTATACGTGGCATATATCCAAAATTAATAGCGTAAAAAAAAGCACTATACTATTATTATAAAAAGTTAACTCATAAAATCAAATTAAAAAGCAAAAACTAATTGATTTTGAAGTACACTACTACTATTTTTAGAATGTGTTGCTAAACCCAAAAATGTAGCAACAAAATTGCAAAAAAAAAAAAAGAAAAGAAAAAAATTGGGCCGTACGTAACCAGGAAACTGGTTCACGCGGACACGGTCGGTCCAGCAGCTCCGGTGAGAATATTTCGTTGAACCAAGTTTTCACGCCTCTCGAGTCGATACTCTGCAAAAAGAAGGGGAAAAAACAAAACAAAAACAAAAACAAAAATTCCTTTCCTCCGCTCCAACTCCAACTCCAACCCTCCTCTTACTAACAGTTTTAATTTTCAACCTCTCCACTATTTCTATTATTCCGTTTTAGAAATTCTTCTATCTAACCTTCTCTTCCTCCAATTATAGAAATTCTATTTACTGCAATTTCCTTCTTCTTCATCTGTCTTAAAGAAAATAAAATCTCAAAACCCATAAATCTCGATCTCAAAAATTTCCGGGTGGGTCAGAATCTTCGTCACTCTTTCTCGGTCTCTCCCTTTTCCCTTTGCATTTCTCTTTCTCTTACTCTCCTCACCCAATCTATGCTTGCACCTTCTTTGGTACCTGTACCCAATTTTGGTAAAAATTTTTTTACGCGGCGGTTCTCGAAGATATCGCTGTCCATATTCAGCTCACCGGGTGATGACGCGATTTTGATTTGTTGTTGTGCAAGTGAAATAATCCTGATTTAATAATAATTTCTGCTCAATTGCAAGTGGGACTGGATGAGTGTGAAAGATTTAGGGTCTTCTGGATGTAAAGTTTTTGGTTTTGTTGCTGCTTTTTTCAATTTTAAGTTTTTTTTTTTGGGTTTAAATGCTCCTGGGAGGGATCTAGGGTTTTTAGCTAGAGTAGTAGTGGCGTTTTTTGTGGTGATTTTTGTTCCGGTTGTGGGTTTTGTTGTCCGCCTGAAATGGCGGAGGTCGGTGGCCAGGAGGGAGGAGATCAAGCGCCTTTTGGTTCTGGTTTCAGAGGAGACTGCAAGGCTGAGCTTGAGGCTGAGGGGGACTTTGGCTATGGCTATGATGATGGGCATAATGGTTATGGCTACAGCAGCTCGTTGGCGGAAGTAGCTGCAGAAGAGCCCGTGCCGGAATCTGTGGCAGAAGTGGAGGGACCGGTGGAGGTTAATGTTGGGGCACAACCTCCTGCGGCAGCTGTTCAGGCGCCGCGCGCGATTGCCGTACCAGTGTGAGGTGTGCAGTTCTCCGACCACCACACGGTGCGCGCGGTGTAAAGCAGTTCGTTACTGGTATGATGAGTACAAAAACCCCAAATGCTCTACGCGAAAGTTTTGTTCTTTTTTATTTTCCCCCTTCAATTGTGAGCTGATTTTGACTAAATGGACTGAAGCATTTTGTGTTTTCCTTTTTGTTTTAGTAATTGGTCTAAATTTGTGGCAGAATTTTGCCAACTCGATCTACCATTATTTGATCTTTCCTGTGGAGGTGTTAATTGTGAGTTAGGGGAATGATTGGCAGGAAATGATATCTTTTTTCATGTTTTAGGCGACAAAGCAGAATGTAGTTTTTGGGAAATGGAGGATTAGATGTCATTATTTGTTCAGTAAGGGGTATGACTGTAGAAATTGGTTTAGCACCCTTAGAAAGTCTGAATATTGTCTGAATTGCAATTTGTGCGCTGTAGATTGTGTTTCTGATCAACTTAGTTTGTCGTTTAGAAGCATGAATTTCAATGGTTGTTGGGGATGGTGTTCTTTGCGCTTTGTAGCAATTGAGTGATGTAGTCATGATTGACAGTTTCACAATGCTGTTTGTTGAGTAATAATTCTTGGGTTTTAAAGAATTTGACATATTTGCTTGGGTAGAACGAATATTATTTTGAGTTTAGTTGTTAGATGTTGGTGTCACATGCAGATCTTTTTGAACTGAAAAATTGCACTACCGCACCAAATAGGGCCCTGCTGGCCTGATATCTTAGCTGCATGTAACACATCATGGCAGTCCTCATCATCTTTTTTTTTTTTTTGCCTTTGATGCTCACAAAGACTGCATCAAGCAAAATATTGTTCCATATCTCAGGAGATTCACTAGCATCTGCATCAAACTATTCTGCATCTGATAATGAGAGCTACCTTTTCCACACCCTTGTGGGTCTAATTGCAGACTACATTAAATTATTTTACATTAGGGAAGTTATCCATGATTGAAGTATGAAATCCAGGTTGTGGGACATTTTAACCGGTTCAGTAGGTCAGTTATTCATGACAATCAGAAGGTGCATTTTGGGCAAAAATTCCTTCCATACCATAAAGCAGCTGCTTCCAATTTTTTACACATTACCATTGAAGCATGCTTTGTTTCGGAACATTTACTTTTCTGGAAGCAATATTATACATTAGTAAACCATTGTGTGACGCATCGCATTCTTCTTGGATCAACTGACAATTTGTGGCTGCTATATTTGCTGCTTTGATAGTAATTTTTTTCCTGAAACCAGTGAGGTTGCATATTGCGTATTTGGGCTTTGGACTTATTGCTTCATGAAAAGAATTGAATCACACTGTTGCCATGTAGAGTCGTATAATTGGCACTCAAAATGGAAGATTCTCAAGGATGGCCTCATCTGGTACCTACGACTTTTGAATTTGAATGCTTTCATCATCTTGAAGGAAAATCTGTCTGAAATTGAGACGGACCTTGGTTTAGTGGGTAGGATTAAATCATTGACTTGGCAACTTTCTTCTGGACGTCGATTCACCTCACAACACATGCAGGTTGATTGGTGGCATGGCATCAGGATCCTTGATTGTTAACTGAAGCCGCTAAAATAAATTAACAAGCATACTAGAAATTAAATATATGCTTGGGGATTTAAAAAACATTCTGGAGATGCCTAGTGTGTCGATGGTTCTTTATTATATGACAGTTTTGCATATTTAGCATTGATTCAGACCTATTTTTGCATATTGCAGCTCCGGTAAATGTCAAATTATTCACTGGAGACAAGGTCACAAGGATGAATGTCAGCCATTTACATTTGATGACCAAAGCCATAAAATGGGTATCACTTCTCCTGTGAAGCTGAAGGCAAAACAGAACGAAATTCACAAGAATAGTTTTGAGACAGGAGTGAGATATCCTGCTAAGGCAGATGAAACATCTTCTGGAGAAGCTTCTGATTCCAGTCTTTCAAATTCATCAGATTGGGCAGAGAACGAAGTGGACATTTCTACTGATGAGAAAGAATTTCAAAATCGAAGTTGATTGCTCCAATGATAAGTGAAGTCTCTAGATTGACTTCAAGTGGATCCTCAATTGATGCATCTGCTAGTGCTGTGCATAATCAACGTACATCTCATGGTCATCAGCCTGTTCATTTCCCTGTTAAGACTGACGGTGATCATGCTAATGTGGGTCGAACTAAGCCTTCCCCAGAGCACTCCAATTTAGTCACTTCTGGGGTTAATTCTGAGCCCATTTCTGTTGATGTGGATACTCTTTGTGGATCATCAACATCATCAGCTTCAAGTGTTGATGGCTGCAGTGAATCTTCTTTCTCTGAGCCATCTACATCATCATCTGGCTTCTGGGATGGAAATCAACCGTACTAGGTCTAGAATTGATGCTGTTGATGATACATCTCATTCTTGTGATGCTGCAGCACATGTTGACCTCTCAAGTTCGGAATTTTCTTCACCTTGTTCCTTTGAATCGCCGAGAAGTGTTCTTCCCAGAAAGATATGACTGGGTTTTGTGATGAGAAAGCATTATCAGATGATCCTCATACTTCTCCGAGTGAAGAGAAGAAGCCAACAAATGGATCTTCATCACCAGTAAAACTGAATAAAGATGATTTGGCGTCATCAGCACTATGTTTGAAGAGACCTGAGCATGTTGATTTTCGTGATTTTAGTACAAGAAAGGTATTGAAGTCAGAGATCCAGTAGACCATGCCATGAGTAAAGATGTCAAGGCTGGTAGTTTACCTTCCTTGAATTCTGAGAAGGTAAATTGTAAGGTTGCTGGCCAAAGCAGTATCCCCCAGGAATCAAAATCTGTGGAAGTAAAATCTTTTTCATCTAAAGCTTCTACTGAGCACTTGTCTCCAAACTACGGAACATATACAGTTCAAAATGTGAAATCTGTAAAAGCTGATAGTGCTCATGAGCTGCCTGCATGTGCTTCAAGTTGTTTTGATCATTCAGAGAATGCTCGGAATAGCTCAAACCTTCAGTGTGGAAAGTTGTTGACGAAATCCGAGCTTCTAAACTAACGCGGCTCGCTCCTTTAGGTGGCATGGGCGAGAATGTTGGAAAATATTATAACAAGGTATCATCTCTTGCAGCAGATATTCCTGTCATACATTGTCTAGACTATGGCTCTAAAAGATAGAACTGACTACAAGTTTATATACAGGGTCTTTTTCCATACGATCTGTTTGTGAAGCTTTACAACTGGAACAAGGTTGAACTACTTCCTTGTGGACTCTTGAATTGTGGGAACAGGTAGGATGCAATGGACTCACCGTATACTAGATCTGCCAGAGTGTATGGTAGACGTATTATTTTAATTCACGTCTTTCGCATTAGTAAAATGCTTAAAATGCATGCTGTTTATTTGGAGCAGTTTCTTTTCACAAAGAAATAGATATTGTTAAACTCAACAATTCTGATACTATCTAATTTCTTTTGGACTTTTCCTGCAGCTGCTATGCTAATGTTGTCCTGCAATGCCTGGCTTTCACCCCTCCTCTAACAGCTTATTTTCTGCAAGGACTACATTCCAGAGCATGTATGCCCTCTTGTTTAAGTTTTTATTAAGACAATTACCTTACAGTTTGGAATGTTAGAATTCATTCTTTTTCTTGATTTTGTTTATGTACATAACTGAATTCTTGGTCATGTCTCCAGGCAAAAAAGAGGCTGGTGCTTCACTTGTGAGTTTGAGAGTCTTGTTCTTAAGGCAAAGGATGGAAATTCTCCCATCTCTCCTAGCCGTATCATATCCCAATTGCAAAACATAGGGAGCAATCTTGGGAATGGAAGAGAAGAAGATGCACACGAATTTCTCAGGTAAGCTGGCTTTGGATTCCTGGAATGTGTTTGGAGTCAGCTTCACCTTTCTGACTTCGAATAGAAAACACTCTGCTGTGGGCTAATTATTGTACGTCATAGGTGTGCCATCGATACGATGCAATCTGGTTGTTTGAACGAAGCTGGAATAAGTGCTTCAGGTACTTTGGAAGAAACAACCCTCTTGGGGCTTACTTTTGGGGGCTACCTCAGATCCAAGGTAATCCATGGTCTTTTGGGAATGATAGGATTGAGAAATTTCTTCTTTGTTAAAGATCAAAAACCAATTTTGAGCTGGGAAATTGATTCTATAATTCCAGATCGAGTGCATGAGATGTGGAGGCAAATCTGAACGGCAGGAAAAAATTATGGATCTTACTGTTGAGATAGGAGGAGACATAGGAACCTTGGAAGAAGCTTTGCGACAGTTCACTCATACAGAGACATTAGATGGAGAAAACAAGTACCACTGCAGCAGGTTAGTTGGCAGATTTTGGCTTTAACTCAACTTTTTAGCAGAGAATGAAAACGGATGTTTCTTTTACATCATCTTTTGTCAACTAGATTAATAATTATTTGATTGAGATTGTCTTGAAAAATCTGAGAATAAGATTTATGTCCTTTTATGCACAGTGATGTTCTAATCCACCTGGCTTTTTCGAAATTCTTTACATCTTGTTGGATTTACATACTACTGAGCTGCTGTAGTCCAAGATCCTTGGTGGATCATCTAACCCTCCTTATTTATATTCCATAGTTTTAACTGCATCCTGTTTCCTGTCTGTAGTCATGATCCTTCTGTGTCAAAGATTGCATGCAAATTGTCGTCATGAATTTGAAAAACTTCTATAATCCTGTTCATTCTGCCTATTATAATTTATAACACTAAGAGCTGTTGCTTCAATTTAGAAGAGTTGAACGTCTTAAACTTGTCATTTGGGAATACTGCTTTAACTGCATCCTGTTTCCAGCCTGAAATCATGATCCTTCTGTATCAAAGTTGCATGCAAATTGTACTCACGAATTTCAAAAACTTCTATTAACACTAAGTGCTGTTGCCTCAATTTAGAGAAGTTGAACATGTCTTAAACTTGTCATTCGGGAATGTTGAACATGTCATAAACATGTCTATTGTCTATTCCTATGTTCAATCATATTGATATGCAAATCGCTAAGTTTTGGTTCTTGTAATATTAAGTGTTGGATACTAAATTACACGCCGGACTGAAGGTCTCTTATTGTAATCAGATGTAAATCCTATGAGAAAGCCAAAAAAAGCTCAGAGTGCTTGAGGCTCCTAACATTTTGACTATTGCATTGAAAAGATTTCAGGTATTTTGTTAGGAACTTTGATTATTATTTACAATAAAAATAAAAAAAGGACCAGGATTATCTCTGGTGTTTTCCTTTTCATAATGGTATGTGATGACATGTTATGCAGTCAGGTAAATTTGGGAAGCTCAATAAGACAATAAGGTTCCCTGAGATTCTCGATCTGGCTCCTTACATGAGTGGGACGAGTGACAAGTCCCCATATATCGCCTTTATGGGGTCATTGTTCACTTGGATATCATGAATGCTGCATTTTCCGGTCACTATGTTTGTTATGTAAAAAACACTCAGAACAAGTGGTTCAAAATCGACGACAGCATGGTATGTTTTCAACCTTGAAATCTGTATAACATTTTATCCTTGTAGAGAACCTGTTTTATTGTTTATTCAGACTTGGGGTTCCAACAATCATCATCGTGGGTCTCTATGGCCTCGTGTCTTGTTATTTGTCTAACTAATGAATCTCATATGCGTGGTTTCATTTTGGGTTTTGAAGTCAAACTGTAGGAACTGCTTTGATTCTTTGTTTAATTTTGTTTTTTCTTGTGGCTTTGCTTGGTTAGTTACATGTTAGGTAACCTAGTTGAATAATATGAAGCTTGTTCTATTCATCTGTGATGGCAATCTTCGATGTGTTTTCTCAAGAGTTTGTGCCGATGTAAAACATCATTGATAGTAGGATGTAGGAAGTAGTCAGGCAATTAGATTTAAATCTTAGAAGCTTATGTTCGTCAGATAGGTGTATGTAGGGAGTGTGTGCTTTACCAAAGTTTGAGCAAATCTCTTGCTATCTGCATGCTGAGTCACATTATGTGCATCTCTGCAAAATTTGTTTGAAGCGTCTACTCTCTCTTTTTTTTTATAAAAAAAAAAAATTAAAATGAGTGATAAAGAATTAAACCCACATATTTTTATGATCTCATGTTACTGCAATTGAAGTATGCTTTGGCATCTGATATTTTTAGCATGTGTAAGCTCCTAGTTTTCAAAGTTGATGTCAAGATTGTCATGTTGGTAGGTAAACGCTGTGGAGCTCGAGAGGGTCTTGACAAAGGGGCATACATGCTTCTTTATGCTAGGTAGAACATTCTGGATCTCCATTTTCAACTACGATTCCAGAATTGTTTCGAGATAATTTCTAACTGTATAAACCTCTTTTAGGTGCTCACCACGAGCTCCAAGATTAATAAGGAGCACATTGGTTCCTCGTGATCCAAGGAAATCAAGGCATCCAGATTCTAAGCCAAGATATCATCATGCCAGGGGTCCATGGACATTCATGCGGATGATTCGTCAAATAATGAGACCAATGATGAACGCGCTTGTCCAAATTATTCGAGTTTCCAGCCATTCCGTACAATTTGGGAAGAGGACTCTTCAAGTGATAAATCGTCCTCTTTCTTCTCAGAAGTAAATTCTTGCAGTACGGACAGCAGTGCCAGGGATTCAATGTGTTCAGACGACCTTTTTGACCAGATGCTAGGAATAGGAGATATGGGGGTGTATTATGGTGGCAGTTCCTGGAGGAATGCCTCTGATTCTGAGACTTCATCTTCCTCGTCATCTCCATCTCCCTTGTACTCGAGGCATCCACTGCACGACTTGGAAGCTTATGCTTCTAAATATCCGGAGGAGACTGACGAATGCATTGATACTGCAGTACCAACTGTTGACGATAGGCCAAGGCTTCCTGGCCGCACTGAAGTTGAGGTCACAGGAGGCAGGGGAACCACGCTGTGTCCAGACTCAGGCAAGGAAAGCACTCCCTTTTTGTGTCCTGACTCGACTAAACGGTGTAGAAAGCTAGGTAGCAGTAGTTGTAGGGAAACCGGCTCCAGTAAATTAGGATGGATTAACTTTGAGAACTGGAAATCTAGTGTAACTTTTAGACGACCTACGAGGGAAAGATCAGATTGAATGAATATCTATCTGGTCGAGCGGAAATAAAAGAGGGTCGGAGGCTGGGGTTAGGGAGTGGCTGTATGTAGTAGCATCATACTCTCTCTGGTTGGCTGCGTTCAAGAAAGAGCCATCATTTTGTCGCTCTCTTCCCTTTTATATAATATATATGTATTTTTGCGGTCAAAAGTCCATCATTAGTATGTATATAGAGTGTAATGGCAAAGAGCATTCTGGACCTCCTGTCCGAGGATCCCTAGTTTTGGCAGAGAATGGTTTCTGCAATAAAAGGGAGAAGTATTTGTCCATTAGATGTTTCATCGTTGCTTTCTGCTTGTTGCTAACTGGGAAAGTCGTCATGCTATTGCAGTGAAATGGATAATGATACATCACCGTGCAGCTAAGAAGGGTCTTTGAGCAGCTAGTGATTTTGACCTCCTGCTTTACTTTACAATTTGGCTCAGGCAGGTGAAATGAATATGAACAAGCAAAACGGATCAAATGAAGTCAAAGGTGGAAAGCAGGAGCAGAGTATTGTATTGAATTGTTTAATGGGTTGGTCAGAGGCAAAGGTAATTGTGGAGAGATAGATGGGGAAAAGGACACATCACGTGAGGATATATGGTCCAGATGAAGACAAATCCAATTCCCATCCAACAACAACAACAACAACGCAAGAAGACCCACCAACCCTCCCTAACTGCAACCAAGCTGCCACCGATGGAATGGGCCGACAGAGACAACTAATCCAGCCCTTCACATGCCCCCCTTCCCCATCCTTCTCTTTCGTTATCCTCCTCCTCCTCCTCCTCCTCCTTCCTTCATTTCATCTCAACGTATATGCATCATTTACGTAACTTCAATAATCGCCATTTTTCTTTCTTCCAGAAAAAACAGATTGGCAAGGGATGCCCTGCATGCCACGCGTCCTTTTCATTTACTCGCTTACTTTGGCCCTATATAGCCTTTTTTTTCTTCTTCTCCCCTCCTCCAACCCTCATCTAGTCACCACCACCCCCGGCAACACACAAAAAAAACTCCAAAAGAGAGATAAATAATAATAATTTGGACGCGTGTACGAGTAAAAAGAACAAGAGTTTTCTAATTCACTGAGAGGCTAATGCGGTTGGTTGCAGAGTACAAATAATAATAATAATAAATTTTAAGGAGTGTGTTTGGATACGAGATTATTTGAAATGTTAGTGCGAATAGTTACTCTAGTACTCTTGGTAACTTGATGCATACGAGAAAAAAAAAAAAAAAGACTGAGACGATTGAAAAGATAAAGCTGTGTGCTGCCATTCAAGTTAATAATTTACATTTTTTTTTTGTAAATAATGCATATCTACGTCAGGGAGGACTAAGCTGGTGGTAGAGCTGCAAACGAATCGAGTCGAGTCGAGTTTTGACCTAATCGAGTCGAGTTTGACTTAATTTTATCGAACTCGAGCTCGATGAGCTGACCATTTGAAGCCCAAGCTCAAGCTCGAAAAAATAAAAATAATTATTTTATTTTTTTTAAAAATAAATAAAATAATATTTTTTAATAAATAATAAAATATTAAGGATATTTATATACTTTTACTATTAAAATAAAAAATAAAAAAAAATATATATATATATATATATACTCGAATTCACGAGCTAACGAGCTTAATATTTTGAGTTCGAGTTCGAGCTCGACTTTGATTCGATCGGCTCGAGCTCATTCGATTCGTTTGCACCACTAGCTTGTGGACTAGATGAAAATAGTTGCGAGTTACTATAGAATTATTTTTTTAAGACATTTTTTTTGTGTGTTCAAATTGGATGATAATAACAATTTTAAGACATTGGGGCGGTAAAACTTGGGAGCCCAGCCGCGCGTAGTTAAGTTAAATTCAAAGTGATTAGTACCATTAATTAATTGGTGATACTACTGTATAAAGTGATAATTAAGAGGAGAAAGGTGCAGAAAGATACGTGGAATCCATACACAAGGTTGGAATTATTCGGGGGTCATTGCTCATTTAGTTGTCTTAATCAACCCCATCACATGGGTATTAGTACTTTAAATCTAAGATTAATCTTTGCCAGAGCGGCGACTAATTAGGTGTTAGCAGAAGTCAGAGATAAGAGGTGGAATGGACCTTTGACTAGACGGGAAGGAAAGAAGGGTGCAATTGCATTTGATTGATTACAAACTTTAGTGGCATACAACGTACCGAATACTCCTCACCTCAAATCATCAATCAAACCCACGGTTTTTGCAACTTGCAACCTGCATAATGGATTGTCTTCAACAATTCATTCTCCATTTTTTTTTTCTTTTTATTATTTAGAGAGTAGTAGACAAAGAAAAGAAACACCATCTCCCAGGTCCCCCAGCCCCAGTCCCCACCCTCTTAATGATCAGCATTGCATTACCAAACACACACACACACACACACCCCTCCCCCAAAACAAAAAAAAAAACCAAAAGAAAAGGGATAATTTTAGAAGCCCGAGATTTCTGACAATTTCACCGAACTCCCATAAAGTTTAAAAAATTACATCTACCTCCCCTAATTTGATGGTTTTTACTTGGTCAAATTTTTAAATGAATACTCAAAAATGCTCTTGTGTAATGAGTTTTAATTTACTTTTTTATACAATTACAAGATTATTTAGTATAATTATAAGAAAAGGTGTCAAATTTTTCATTTCCATACTTCCAATTTAATAAACAACTATAATAATAATAATAATCTTATCACTATGATATAATACTTTTGATGGTATTTTATTATGGATTTAAATTTATAAGATAGAAAATAAAATGTTGAAATAATTCATTTAAAATTTATGAATTATTCGAGTAGTGGAATTACCATAATTTAGTAGTAGTTTTGGGTCATTTTCTTTTGATTTATTGTTAATTTTAATACCCAAAAATAGAAAATAAAGATCAACAAAAACATTGAATTGCATATAAAGTTAATTTATCAAAAAAATCACTAGTTCGACATTTGATTACAATAGAAACTAGAGGTAATAGTAGTAATTCTATAGTTTTATTGGCAAAAAAAAAAAGAATAAGAAGGAAAAAGAATAAAAAATAATTTTAAAAGTCATTATAAATATAAACATATCAAACAAAAGATTTTCATTAAAATATTTAAGAGTAGTATTATTGTCATTTGAAATGATAAGGGAGGCATGCGTAATTTTAAAATCTCAAGGGCGCTAAATAAAATTATTACAAACCTGAAGGGAGGTTTCTGAAATTATCCCAAAAGAGAGAGAGAGAAGAAGGAAGAACACCTTATAATGAGATTCAAAGCTAAGAGCCAAAGTGCATGGAAGTCAAGAACTGATCGATCCACCCCCTAAAGGCTAAAGTTTGTAGGTGGAAACTCCTTGGCGGGTCAAGGATTCCAATCTAGTCACACACTATTGTTTGTTAGTCAAATTGAGACTAATCAGAGCTTGGCACGACATCAAAGCTCGTCGTTAAGATAAAGTAGTTGCAATTTTTTAAATAACAAAAAATAATATGCTTCTTTTTCGTTCGCATCCTTTGTCTTCTGGCATGGCAAAAAGTGCAATTGATCGGTAATGAGCTCGAAAGAGCCCTCCTGGTCCAGCCAAACAAGAAAAAGAGTAACTTGAAGGAACAGCCGCCGCAATATGACTTGGGCTGTTTCTGTTCAAGTGTTGGATGAATCAACTCGTCATTATACTCATCAGCAAGAAAGAAAGGGTGTCAGGATATATATATATATATACATATATATCAAGGATAGGAGGGGCAGCAGTAGACTCTACTGTAGATGTTATGAAGATGAAAGAGATCCGCCGCAACGGCAAGTTCCAGACCAAGCGGGAAGCTCTGTCCGCCAAAACACCAGCACATCCAGGCAAAACATCGAAGTACCGCTTACTTGTGCCCAGTGCCCACCCACACATTCTTCCTTCAGAATATTTATTATTATTTGAAAAAAAAAATGTAGAATGGCATTTGTGTCATTCTGGAACTCAATATATTTTTAAGATATATTTATTTTAAGGATTAATCTTTACTACACACAGACAGTGTATACACTATACTGTCAGCAACATTGGATAAATAATAATTACAAAAAATTTTTAAATTTCAAATTCAACTCTTGCACGCATGGTCACGAATCAAACGGTGACAGTGCATGCACTGTCAATGAGTGTATATAATATGTACTCGTATTTTGATTCATCGTAAGAGATCCGAATTTGAATTTACCTTTTGAAATTCACGAGAATCTGAATCTAGTCTAGATCTGAGTGTTTGACTAAATTTGATGGGTTTGGATCTGAATTAAAGAAATTCAACTCAAAATTTATACATTGGCATGCCTGTCTTCAATCATCCATTTCAAATAAATTGATAGATATAAAGGCCAAAAAAAAAAAGAAAAAAAAAGTTGCCACTTAACGAGATTTCTCTCCGGCTTTTAAAAGAAAAGTAAAGGAGTGGTGTGTATTTCTCTGCCTTTCGGCGAACAGTGTAGAAAAGGCTTCCCTGTGAACAAGCCGTGCATCATGGAACTTGTGCTGCGGATTTTTAGCTTCGCTTCACTTTCTTATTGACAACATATCAGATCAGTAGATCCTTTGCCAATCATTACGTACTGAGGAAGATTTCGTCTTCTTTTCCCTATTTGGTTCATGCTGCTAATTCTTTTCACTTGCGCTTGTCTGCACCCTTCCCATTTTGGCATATATCTACTCCACATAACCAACTCTGTATTTTATTGATTTCGTATTAACTACTCCATTAAAAAATGATCACTTCGCAAAAAAAAAAAAAAAAGGAGGTTAGAACTCTAAAGAATATAAACCAATCAAAGTTCAGATGTCTCGTGTGTAGAAGAAATGATTGCTAGCATTACTGAAAATCCCTGCTAATAATGAAGTCAAGGATGAACAATTTTCTCCCACCTACTACCAAAAACAATTAATTGCGAAGATAGAATCTTAAGATGAACAAGACATTTGAATATGGAGGCTGAATTTGTTTTTGTCATATATCAACTACGGCAAAAAGAAAGAAAAGGGGGTCGAGTCCAACTAGATTCTTAAGATTAATATGGACTAAATTACCGTCGAATGATCCAGATAAATGCTTCTCTAAATATTCACTGAATTTTAGAAAAAGCTATATATTACTGGCAATCAATTGATAGGAATAAGATTCGAACCTTAGGCGTTGCATCCCATAAAAAGCCTGCCAACAAACCAACACCCCGTTGGTTAAATACGGAGGTTGAATCACTAATCCCATTATGCCCATAAATCACCCCTCCTTTCAGTT